GTAAGCAAGCTAACAGTGATGATGGATAACTTGACATAAGGTGCTATCAAAGTTAGAAATGATTCTTCTAAAGTTTCAACTCAAACATCCATGTGATGATAATGTCAGAGGTTGTTTCAGTAGATAAAAGATGCCTTATTGAACTAAGGTTTCACATTCTCAAAAATGCGTTTTATCACCTTGTGGAGTCTTTAGGTCTTTACCATCGACTGAGACTTGCTGTAATGATTTAAATATTACACTGATAATTCAGTTACTTGGTTTTTTTCCTGAATCCTAAATATTCATGTTCAGGACATATTTATCTGTTGATTACATATCCAAGTGAGCCACAGGGAGAGTTATGTTTTGTGTTAACCTAACGTTGTGGAGCATGATGTATGAAAGTGTTTTATGCATAACTAAAGTACAATACTTAAGAGGTTCACTTCAGAGGTTCATGTCAAAAAGGAAAAGAGGTTCACTTCAGTCATGAAAATGTCATATGTTAAATAGGTCAAATGAACACAATGATTACACTGTCAAAAATACAAAAGTACTTTCAGTGGGAGCTTAAGGGTTTCATATGAAAATAAAGATATTATTATTACTCATATGTTAAATATGTTGTTTTGTCATTCAATGCATATTCTATATCTAGGCCATTAATTGATATATATATAAATTATATATATATATATATATATATATATATATATATATATATATACATAACATGAAATATATTATATAGAAATCATGTAAAGAAAGTTTCTAAGAAATCATAGAACAAAGAGTGTCATCATATGTTGACAACATGACATACAGACAAAAGTTCAAACAGCACTAGCAAACAGTAGTGGTATACCCCTCAAAATGAGAATGACAAACATGAAACCGGTTCACCTCCAAGACACTGGGGCACCTTGTTCTCATGCTCCTTATCAAGTTCATAAAGAAAGCTTGTGGAATCGCATTCCATTCCTCTACTAGAGCTCTGCGGAGTGCTGGGTGATGTGTACACACATCAACAGAGTTCATCCCAGTCATGCTCATTTGGGTTGAGGTCTGGCGAGAATGCTGGCCACTCCATCCGCTCTACATCCTGCTGCCTAAGGAATTCCGTGTCAATCCTGGCCCTATGAGGCCTAGCCTGGCCATCTTGCTGTAAAGAGGGTAGACCGTTTAAGCCATGCATAGCTTGCAGGAATGGTACTGCTATAGGAGCCAGAATCTCGTCCCGATAACGCTGTCCTGCAAGATTACAGTCGACCACATGAAGTGGAGTACGTCCAGTAGGATTTATCCCTGCCCAAACCATGACTGACCCCCTACCAAATCGGTTATGCATGGCCATAGTTGCATCTGTGATTCTCTTTCCATTGCGACAATAAATCCTCTGCCAACCATCATGGAAGGACAAATTGAATCTGCTATCATCTGTGAAGAGCACACAAGACCATTGACATTGATTCCAGCGGCCATGATGTCTACTCCATCTCAAACATACCTGCCAGTGACGGTGGTGTTAGTGGTAGACAAACTGTTGGATAGAGCAACTTGCATCTGCAAATCATTGACATGAGTGACAGGTGGATTTCCATATTGACAATTTGAATATAAAATGTGCCATTTGTAACAGAATGTATCGGACGTTAAAGAACTTAATAATGACATTTCAACGACCTGATGCGTTTTTCCATACTGTTAAGAAAGTTTGTAAAACATTCAGTTACATTTCAAACAAAAACAATGATTTTACAACTTTTAAGAAATAGTGTTACCAATAGCTTGACCCTAATTAATGACGTCGGGTATATATTTTCCTACAATGGAAAGCATTGCTATTTGATTTTCTTTTGAACAACATCCCCATACTGCATCTCACAAAGCAGTTCAGTCACACAGAAAGATGAAAAACCCAGCAACCAACAAGAACAATTTATTAGCAAATTCTTTCTGTGCAGGAACAAAGACAAACTGCAGTTAAAAACATTCCTGTAACATGTTATCCAATGAGTGCTGTGTAAGGGCAACCCCCTTCCACCACATGCAGTTCCCTGTAGTGAGTCAGACATTGTGATGTTGGGGTGATCAACCTCATGGCTTTCTGTGAACACAGTCTAAATTTGTTTATTAGAGTGAGTGGGAGTGTTGAATAACCTCTCCAATAAACATGTTTGTGGGGCACATTGTCTTTAATTAAATTATATTCTCACCTGTGAAGTAGTATACTTGTATACTAAGTGCAATCTGTCACTGTAGTAAACACTGATCTGTACAGGCCAGCCTGGACAAGGTACAGGAGACCTAATTGAGGTATGGATGTTGAATGACTTCATTCTGCCTGTTGCATTGATAGGGTACACTAAGTAGAAACAGGGCTGTTCATGCAGCAGAGCAACTGAGCATTAACGATTGTGTATCAAAGCAGTTTCCAAATATGTGATGTGATTAATGTTTGGACTACAAGTGTCCTCTCAGGGATTTCGCTGAACACTGATGGGCAGTATGTGCCAACGATTCCAAGTTAGGATCAGTTATTGCCACTGTTAACACTATTCCAGTTATATGATGGCATGTCGGCTTAATGTAGCAGTCAAGCCTGAGATAATGGAGGTCTGATACACATACAACTTTGGTGAAACCCACAAGCACGGGTTTGGTGCTGATAAACCAAGAAACAATCTGGACAAACACGCAACCGTGCAGGTTTTCTGCATGATGAAAGACTGGAACTTGCAGAGTAAACTGGTATCAAGATGATGGGGCAATCTGTCCATCAGGATACAGCATGGTTGATGGATCGTAAATACACTTCAACCAAATCAACAAATAGTTTGGCCCTTCACACCTCAGTCAAATATATTTTCTAAACATGTGAACTACACAGTAGGATGTATGAGGCAAAATTGTGCACTGAGCAGACTTTGTCTACAAGCAAAGAGTGACATAGTTTGTATCCTGCCCTACTTCATGATACTAGGAGTGTGAAGTCGGGAACACAAATGGTGACCACCAAACACACTCGACAGACAACATGCACTGAACCACCCTGTAAAAATATGTTTTCCACTAAAATTTGTTAATTAAAATTAAAAATACAGCAGTCACTTAATGATGCTTGTCCTTGGCCATACCAGTACCTGATTACTTCCAACTGTGGTATCATCTGCCAGTAGTCAAAGGCATGCATGCTGATCATAACAGTGTATGATGTAATCAACCTGTCATACATTAGGGACAACACCAGCAGGTACTGCCACCATTGCTACAAGTATCCTATATGGGTAGTGGTATTCTTGTCACATTGAAGGGACAGATACAGCACATCTGTCTCACTGAATAGATCTAGAAAGTAAACACATGTAGATTTTTAAAAAATGATTATAACTCATAAAATGGCTAACCATAATAAAACAAATAAGGAATTTCCCTGCCCACTTCTGTTGCTCCAACCTTGTTCAGTGGGATCCTCTGGACACACCACACTTGTCCTCTCAACACCAGCACCATCTTCTTACACTGAGCCGGTTTTGTTACTGTCCATCTTAAGCACAACAATTACTTCTGCATTCTTCTGCTTGCACAAACAACCTTTGCACAATAAGCAAATGGCTCAGACTTGAATATCTCAATGATCTAGAAGAATGGAATCAATTTGTTTCTGTACCATAAATTGGAGTTCAATCTGAATGTGTAACACATGTGAATATGCTGTTTATATACTGTCAAAGAAATCAAATGCAAAACACTGTGAAAGGAAGGCTTAGTCTTGGTGCTAGGTTTAAAAGACATGCCAACAGTTTTAGCCACTTTTCTATGCTCCACATAACCTAAGTATTGCAGAAACAATTAAATTTCACTGTAATGTGAAAGGGCACAACATATTTGGCAGGGAGAAATATCAGCTTATAAGCAATGCAGGGGTAATGGTGCATAAGAACATCTTAAGACAAAGGTCAAACACAACAAAATTCAGAATAAAAGATTAAGAAATAAAGAAGTAAAGGAGGCAACTTCATTACACTATGACAGAAACATGACAAACTGTGTTATTATAAGGGGAAAGAACTCGGAGAGAAATAGGGTTAGTTGGCCATGTTATGGTGTTATCTCCTCAGGAAAGCTTGCCAACATGTTAATCTTGTCTGTTAATAATAATAAAAGGAACATTTTGTACTTAACATAACAAGGAGTGGGATACTTTAAACCATCAGGGCCAAGCTGCCCCCAGACCAACTGTAACACGTTGAAGTGAGACTATAATGATCAAAGCCTACAGTCACTTTGTATAAGTGAATGAAAATATCTTATCCCAAGCTACAATTCCAACAATTACATCAGCTGTCAACTGACTTTGTGCAAATGTCCCTGGTGTACTATACTCAACAGACAAACAATCTTATATCTCAAATATCTCATTGCTCAAAATTTTTAACCATTATTAATGTTTTGGCGTAGGTTTTCAGATCTGTAGGTCTTGAAATTGGCAACTTCAGGCAGTACACAGGATCACACTTAATAACATGACAGTATTTTTAGATCAGTATCATTTTATGAGGTTTCCACCTACAGCTGATGAGGCTTGTAACTTGGTGTACACACTAACAATTTTACATAATAAAGTCAGATATACCTTGACAAACTCAGTTAATTCATTAGTTGTTTCATGAAAATATAAAATAGAAATAACTCCTCTGTAGTTGCAGTTTACACACACACACACACACACACACACACACACACACACACACACACACACACACACACACACACACACACACACACACACACACACACACATATATCCTGGATGATCAACATTTACACCAGACAAAGTTCTCAACAGGTCTGGTATGCAGTCACGGTTGATCTATTTCATTGTTAATGAGATTTCTTCTAGAATATTCCAAAGATTGATGATCCTCCAAAATATCACACTAAATATCAAGTAGTAGTGATCAACTTATGCCAAATCAGATCTGAGCTACAACCTTCTTTTGTCTGTCCTTTTTTTCTTAATGTGAAGGGTATTTTAGAATAATGGAAGACTACTAATAGAAACCCTTTTCTCCTGACTGGTTCTTATCAAATCACCTTTGCATAGCTATAGATTCTTTAATGTTTGGACATTTCTGGCTGTTCACAACTGTAGTGGACCTCAGGCCAAATATCAGCTTCTGTGACTGCCTAATAAATCTCCTATGGCACAATGCAGAATAAAAAGTCTACTTCCATCTGATTTTAGGTCTCCCGATTTTCTTCTGAACATTTGTAATCTCTTCCAACAAACAACATTTACCCATCTGTATGTCAATATGTTTAGATTTGCTTATTTTTTTCTGGCACTAAAATCTAAGAGATATCATTTGAATATTGTGTCGGCAAGCATTAAACAAGGTATGTAAGGCTTATCCAATGTAAACAAGGACAGTAAGAATGGTACACTGCAACACAGGGACAGTACAAATGGCCAGTGGGTGATATATTGTAAACAAGGCAGTAAGAGTAGACAGTAGGTGATACATTGTAAACAGGTCAGTAAGAGTAGACAGTAGGTAAAAGAGTGGCCAGTGGGTGATATATTGTAACCAAGGACAGAAAGAGTGGCCAGTGGGTGATATATTGTAAACAAGAAGAGAAAGAGTGGCCAGTGGGTGATATATTGTAACCAAGGTCAGAAAGAGTGGTCAGTGAGTGATATATTGTAACCAAGGACAGAAAGAGTGGCCAGTAAGTGATATATTGTAAACAAGGACAGAAAAAGTGGCCAGTGGGTGATATATTGTAAACAAGAAGAGAAAGAGTGGCCAGTAAGTGATATATTGTAAACAAGAAGAGAAAGAGTGGCCAGTAAGTGATATATTGTAAACAAGGAGAGAAAGAGTGGCCAGTAAGTGATATATTGTAAACAAGAAGAGAAAGAGTGGCCAGTGGGTGATATACTGTAACCAAGGACAGAAAGAGTGGTCAGTAAGTGATATATTGTAACCAAAGACAGAAAGAGCGGCCAATAAGTGACATATTGTAACCAAGGTATGTAAGACTGATCCAGTGTTAACAAGGACAGAAAGAGCGGCCAGTGGGTGATATATTGTAACCAAGGACAGAAAGAGCGACCAGTAAGTGATATATTGTAACCAAGGACAGAAAGAGCGGCCAGTAAGTGATATATTGTAACCAAGGACAGAAAGAGTCGCCAGTGGGTGATATATTGTAACCAAGGACATAAAGAGTGGCCAGTGGGTGATATATTGTAACCAAGGACAGAAAGAGCGGCCAGTAAGTGATATATTGTAACCAAGGACAGAAAGAGTGGCCAGTGAGTGATATATTGTAACCAAGGACAGAAAGAATGGCCAATAGGTGATATATTGTAAACAAGGACAGAAAGAATGGCCAATGGGTGATATATTGTAAACAAGGACAGAAAGAGTGGCCAGTGGGTGATATATTGTAAACAAGGACAGAAAGAATGGCCACTATAAACAAGTACAGTCAGAGCAACAAGGGACTGATATTATAAAATCTGTTACACACAAATGGAATGAATGGCGATGACATGAATGCAATACCTACAGTCCACTGGAGATGACAGCCAGCATGTGGATGGTCACACAACAGTGGACAGCCAACAGTATCTACAATCAACACTGTGGAATCTATCACTCCTTCAAACGGCAGCACATGGCTTACAGTGTTTTAATAAGCCAGTCCTGAAGAACTGATAGTAAAGAATCTCCAAAACATTGTTCAATATGAACTTAACCATGAAGGACACATGATAACAGTTGGTTTTCTGAGTGCCTATAAAAAGTATCAAATGTTTTAACGAGATTTAAAATTCTCTGCAAGACATAATTTAAATGTGCAGGGAAATGTATATTTATAAAGGGTAAGTTCCACATTGGCTAATATGTAAATACATGTATGTATAAGTGAACTCTTAAATATATCTGTACATAAATAATACTGGCTATAAATATGTTCATCCATTTGGAATACTTTTAGCAGTTTGATTGATGCAATATATAAAGGGAAAAGGGATATAAAAAAATATTCATTATAGAAATAAACAGATTAATATCCTGATACGGTAACAGTAAGCTAGTGATTAGCTGTAAAATGGTATATAATTCACAAAAGAGGTTGTATGATCCTCTGTTGATGCCTAACATGCTATTCAAACAACAAAATAGATTACACCTCTGCTATATGTTTGATTGGCATATTCTCCAGCCAATGCTGTATAGATACCTATAAGTTCACAGAGTCAATATTTACACCCCAGTTGGATTAGTCTCCTGTGAGGAAGTGAGGTGATGATGACCGGGATGATGTGAGAACTGTAGCTCCCCTGCTGCTGCTGCCACCTTGTGATCACTGGACACAGGATCCCTCAACAAAACCACATATACATGAACAATTCACATCCTCACACACATTTCACCATTCATTCTGAGCACATAACTAAATAAGTATCAGGGGACCTGTACAAACTCTAAGTGATCCTTCACTATATTCATCTGACTGGATGAAACAAGAAGATCTACTGATGAAGCATCAACATACTGACAGTCATTGCACAAGTGGTAGCCTAGCCACTTTCTTTCATACGCTGCATGGATTCCAGCTATGGTCATTGTTTGAGACAGGGCTATAGGAGTGGAGGAGCAATGGACTTTGAATGAGTGATTGAACTTGAGGAAGGAAGCTAATCATTTGTCTCACTGTAGCTAGACAGAGAACTTGCAGGAGACACAAACTGTTCATCAATGGACATAAAAGATTCACATGAGCTGCGTACACTAGGTGTTGGGCTGAAGTCCCGAGAAGAATGCTGGGGTTGTGGCTTGTGCCCCACAGCTAGTAGGCCGCTTGTTTTGGTGTATGAGGACAGAATAGAGGAGTCCAGACTTTGCTGCCTGCCAGAAAACATGCGGTGTCTGCGGGCCGCAGTGCTGGATTGCTGACTAGAGTCTGTGTGGGACGACTGGGACTCAATTGCACATTCACTATGGAAAGTGTCAGACTCATCACTACTCTCACTGATAGGATCTGGGCCATCGTTCCACTCATACTGAAGTTTCATGGCCACACTCTCAGATAAAATTGCACTTTTGGATCGTGTTCTTGTGTTGATTTGGGTGGAGTTCCACTTTGCACTACCATGTAGGGACTCCATGTGAAGTCTCTCTGCAGCCTTGCGTAGCAGCACTGGAGATGAGGGGAGTGAGTGACAGTTGCGGCCACACATTGCTCTGGGTCGAGATGACCCTGGTGTTTGTGGAGTACAGGGAGGAGTGAAAGGGTATGTAGGAGACGGCAAGTCATAGGTGGAAGCTGCATCACGGGATGTTCCTAGCAACTTGTGACCATCCTTGTAACGTTTATGAGATGCAAAGGGATTGGACTGTGAAGGTTGATAGTATGGGTCATCTCGACTCATCACTTGTCCAATCAGACGTGGTGTAAGATAAGACTCCTCCATGTTTTCAATGTCACTTGAACTGTCATTGGCCTGCAGAATGTTATCCTCAGATTTTGATCTCTTGCAACATTTCTTCCTTTCTGAAATTTTGAAAAAAGAAATACATCAGTATTTTCTTCTTAGGTAATAGCAGAACTTAGTTAACACTGATGGTTTTCCAATCTTAGTGATTTCTGCAGTGGCTAGGAAATACTGTAAGCCAAACACATGAATACTATACATCATGTTCATTATCTGTTGTGTTACCATGTGTTTGTTCACCGTGTGTGAAAGCCTACTGGTAATTCTCTTTCCATCGAGACAACTGCTTCCTCATGTTCAGTACCTAACAAATTTTATGGGACATGTACACTGCCTAATACTTTCAAAGAAAGAAAACTGAGACACAAAGTGGTGTGTTTTATGTTCAATAATGTCATTTCCCCATAGTAAATCATTACAAAAGTAATCATGTAGAATGATAACCAGATTGTCTGATCCAGACTCAAATATTTACAGACTGACGTCCTATAGATGGAGTATAGCTGAGTGTGACGCTAAGCAACAAACAAACATTATGAGAACTGCTACATACTGGATGTGTCATTGCATTACAATTTCATGTACTGTTTTGTTCTTCATGATCATTATTAGCATTGGGAAGTAGCTTATAATATATAAACAATAATCTAAAATGTCACCAAAGAATCAACAAAATACTGTATAGTCTGCATTGATATTTATCAAATTTTCTACCTATACTGAAAATAAAAAAATAAAATGTTTCAAATGGGGGAATTTTTGTTCCAAGGAGGGGATAACTCTCCTTTTGAAATGATGTAAGACACAGTTAAACTTCTCCCTTCAATGTCCACTACAACAACTTTTGACGAACTACTGTCTGTTTGTTAGCAATTAACATGCCATAGAAAATGTGTTTAAAATCAAATATTGTTATGACAACGTAAATTCGGATTAAACCCATAATCATTCCATGTAAATATGTTTGATTATCTATATATATTTTTACATATAAAAGATTTTACTTATACATAATGACTGCTAAAAAGTCATTTTTATACAAAAGTATCAGATAAAATTAGAACATTGTACAATGCAGACATTTATTGATGAATAGAGAAAAAAAGATTGACATTATTGATTTTTTTATGTGAGTACACATGTATTTTGAAAAATCAGTTTACATAGATAACATAGATAGTAAGGTCGGAAAAAAAAATATGAACTTTGTCATGAATGTTATAATCATCTGATCACTGTGAAGGCAAACTACATGTGGATACTGCAAGTTAGTAACATGTAAACCATTTGATGTTTACAACACTTAACAGTGTCATTATAGAGACTGAAATTTATAATTAGTAATTAGTATAATACATTGATGGGTTTTTTTATATGATGAGTTGAAAGTATCCTTGAATATGTATTAAAACTATTGTAGCTTCTTCTGTGTCTGAAAAAAATATTATTTTCTTCTATTAATTTTTTTTTTAAAGCCATACTGAATAGCCATAATACTAATCAGCCATAACACTAAGAGATTTGAGTCTACATACAATGAAAATAAAAGGCTTAATTACTGATTGCAAAATGTCAACAAAACGACAAAACATGACCTGAAATTAACCATCAGCTGCTTCCACCGCCTCGCTACAAATGGCCATCTGTTGATTCATTATTGCAATATAAGCAATCCATCACTGATATATCATGGAACAAATATTTCAGAACATAACATTTGATGGGGGACGGACAAAATCCCACCCAGACAAAATCCCATAGGACAAAATTTCTTTGGACAAAATCCCACACCAAAATGACCAACATAGGACAAAATCCCATTTTTAAATGTTATTGCTACCCTCTTTCACCAGTTTTAATTAGCATGTTTTCATGACAGAAGCCAGTGAGATAAGTCGATTAGCATGTTTTCGTAACAGAGGCCAGTGGCTGCGTTGATAAATTGTATAAATGTGTCTGTGATGATGACAGTTTTTATCACTGTCAAAATGGAAGTACTGAAGAGCAATGATTAAGGGACGAGTTAAAATAGCATTAGATGGATTTTTGTACACAAAGAAGGTTAAAAATAAGAGTAGTATTAGGTGGGAATGTTCAAGAAAAGTTGCATTAGAATGTCGTGGGTCCATGAAGACAATGGAGACAATGGATAATCCGGTTCTTGTTACATCTCATAGTCATCCAGTCATACATCAATTAAGATGTACAAAGATGCTGATGTTCTAGAATGATGCTTTAGATGATTACATGTACCATAGAAATACCATGATGCATTATGTTATGAGATTGCGTTGAATCATATGATTAGGGCTGAGGACCAATACTGTTTACTTATGAGGACAAATAAAACTATCTATTTCAAAATAAATTGTATGTCTTTCTTCAGACTGTTGGGATTTTGTTCGCAGTGTGCAGACATTTTGACCTATGGGATTTTGTCTGGGTGGGATTTTGTCCTACCCACCATTTGATCATTTGCACCAGTGTGAACGTTACGGGAGAAGGAGAAGGCTAAATTGGTTAACCATCTGTAAGTGTAATAGTAATACATACAGCTCTCGTGCCGTGCATACTACATGCCCAGCGAGTTTAAGGTTGGACAGTCCGAATGAGCCTTCCCAGCGGATCAGTGAATGGAAGATTATTTGAAAAACATCGCCCATTAAACAGTATTTTTAATCCACCACAATGAATGTTACAAGTAATATATCGTACATTATTGCAATACAGAATAGCTCAAATTGCATGAAATACAGTTTCTTCTCTGATCTCTATATGCCTTCGGAGTAAATTTAGTTTCTTTTGCCACAGAACTCCTTCCAAACATTATATAAATTTATGAATTTCCATTCATTTGGTATTATAAGACTTATTCTATCTAACAAACTGCAAATTAGCTATATTTGATTGCTTATGGAACTTGACCAATCTTTTATCAGGGACTATCTGAACAGCAAACATGATACAAGAGTCATCAGAAGATGACAACCCCCCACCCCCACATATTTGAAAGAACAAATCATTTGACTGTTACTTTAAGTCCAACTTGATTCTTTTTAGTCTAAGTCCAAATCATTTCTATAGAAATCATAAAAAATATAAATGCAAAAAAATGGTAAATAGCAAAAGGCACCACTTCAAGATCTGTTTAATATATGTGCCAAATCTTGTAGAAAGATATTGAAAGGTTTTAAAGTTAAACGAAATCCACCCCTCATTTTGGAACTAAGTCCAACACGTTTCCATGGAAACCGAGAAAAATAAAAGTGACAAAAATCTGTAAACAGCAAAGGTACCACTTTAGGTTCTATTTGATATATCGACCAATGTTTTTTTAAAAATATTGAATGGTTTTTGAGTTGTACTCACGAAACAAAGCCCACCCTCCCTTTTGAGACAAAGTCCGAATTGTTTCCATCGAAATCGAGAAAAAAAACAATGACAAAAATCTGCAAATAGCAAAAGGCACCACTTTGGGATCTGTCTCATATATCTGCTAAGTTCTGTTGAAAGATATTGAATGGTTTTCGAGTTTAGCTCCAGAAACAAAGCCCACCCCACCCTTTTGAGACTAAGTCCAAAACGTTTCCATGTTCGTTGAAAAATATTGAACACTTTTTGAGTTATACTCCGCCAACAAAATGATTACAGACGGAAGGGCAGACGGACGACGAGGCATCAACTAAATCCCCCTGCATTGCATACCATGGGGATAAAAAATCAATGGAGGTCTACCAAAGTTAGCTACCTGAAATCAAAACATACTTGCCATTGTATAAGCTAGTGAGTTTTAAGGGCTTCAATGAGTTCATCAGGAACTTTACCAATAAACAAATGTGTATATATATATTTTACATAGCATTGTTGAGATATAAACACCTTTCTTTTCTCGTTCCTTTTGACTCAGTAGTTCATTATTCAAGTTCCTCTGAATCTTCTCCATAGATTCCACAATTTCAGGAAAGGAAGGACGCTTGTTTGCTTCAATCTGGAACAGGGAGCACACATTGAAGCAGGTGAGCTATCTAACATGACTTGCTGGCTTCAAGACAGTGAGGCAACTATGTTTATGTATATTATGGAAGATTAACACAATGGGACTCCTGTATATGTAGTCAATGTTTGAAATGACAGACTGCTTATACATGATCTCAATGAAGGGGTATCTTGGACTGCCTCCAAATAACGCAATATCATAATGCCTGTGGCATATATATTGCTGTAGACAATGGTTATTGTTAGGTGGCAGTGTATATTGCTGTAGACAGTGGTTATTGTTAGGTGGCAGTGTATATTGCTGTAGACAGTGGTTATTGTTAGGTGGCAGTGTATATTGCTGTAGACAGTGGTTATTGTTAGGTGGCAGTGTATATTGCTGTAGACAGTGGTTATTGTTAGATGGAAGTGTATATTGCTGTAGACAGTGGTTATTGTTAAATGGAAGTGTATATTGCTGTAGACAGTGGTTATTGTTAGGTGGCAGTGTATATTGCTGTAGACAGTGGTTATTGTTAGGTGGCAGTGTATATTGCTGTAGACAGTGGTTATTGTTAGGTGGCAGTGTATATTGCTGTAGACAGTGGTTATTGTTGTTAGAGTGGCAGTGTATATTGCTGTAGACAGTGGTTATTGTTAGGTGGCAGTGTATATTGCTGTAGACAGTGGTTATTGTTAGGTGGCAGTGTATATTGCTGTAGACAAGTGGTTATTGTTAGTGGTTATGGCAGTGTATATTGCTGTAGACAGTGGTTATTGTTAGGTGGAAGTGTATATTGCTGTAGACAGTGGTTATTGTTAGGTGGCAGTGTATATTGCTGTAGACAGTGGTTATTGTTAGGTGGCAGTGTATATTGCTGTAGACAGTGGTTATTGTTAGGTGGCAGTGTATATTGCTGTAGACAATGGTTATTGTTAGATGGAAGTGTATATTGCTGTACACAATGGTTATTGTTAAATGGAAGTGTATATTGCTGTAGACAGTGGTTATTGTTAGGTGGCAGTGTATATTGCTGTATATTGCTGTAGACAGTGGTTATTGTTAGGTGGCAGTGTATATTGCTGTAGACAGTGGTTATTGTTAGGTGGCAGTGTATATTGCTGTACACAGTGGTTATTGTTAGATGGCAGTGTATATTGCTGTAGACAATGGTTATTGTTAAATGGAAGTGTATATTGCTGTAGACAATGGTTATTGTTAAATGGAAGTGTATATTGCTGTAGACAGTGGTTATTGTTAGGTGGCAGTGTATATTGCTGTAGACAGTGGTTATTGTTAGGTGGCAGTGTATATTGCTGTAGACAGTGGTTATTGTTAGGTGGCAGTGTATATTGCTGTACACAGTGGTTATTGTTAGATGGCAGTGTATATTGCTGTAGACAATGGTTATTGTTAAATGGAAGTGTATATTGCTGTACACAGTGGTTATTGTTAGATGGCAGTGTATATTGCTGTAGACAATGGTTATTGTTAAATGGAAGTGTATATTGCTGTAGACAGTGGTTATTGTTAGGTGGCAGTGTATATTGCTGTAGACAGTGGTTATTGTTAGGTGGCAGTGTATATTGCTGTAGACAGTGGTTATTGTTAGGTGGCAGTGTATATTGCTGTACACAGTGGTTATTGTTAGATGGCAGTGTATATTGCTGTAGACAATGGTTATTGTTAAATGGAAGTGTATATTGCTGTACACAGTGGTTATTGTTAGATGGCAGTGTATATTGCTGTACAGACAATGGTTACAGTGGTTATTGTTAGATGGCAGTGTATATTGCTGTAGACAATGGTTATTGTTAAATGGAAGTGTATATTGCTGTAGACCAGTGGTTATTGTTAGGTGGCAGTGTATATTGCTGTAGACAGTGGTTATTGTTAGGTGGCAGTGTATATTGCTGTAGACAGTGGTTATTGTTAGGTGGCAGTGTATATTGCTGTACACAGTGGTTATTGTTAGATGGCAGTGTATATTGCTGTAGACAATGGTTATTGTTAAATGGAAGTGTATATTGCTGTACACAGTGGTTATTGTTAGATGGCAGTGTATATTGCTGTAGACAATGGTTATTGTTAAATGGAAGTGTATATTGCTGTAGACAGTGGTTATTGTTAGGTGGCAGTGTATATTGCTGTAGACAGTGGTTATTGTTAGGTGGCAGTGTATATTGCTGTAGACAGTGGTTATTGTTAGGTGGCAGTGTATATTGCTGTACACAGTGGTTATTGTTAGATGGCAGTGTATATTGCTGTAGACAATGGTTATTGTTAAATGGAAGTGTATATTGCTGTAGACAGTGGTTATTGTTAGATGGCAGTGTATATTGCTGTAGACAGTGGTTATTGTTAGATGGCAGTGTATATTGCTGTACACAGTGGTTATTGTTAGATGGCAGTGTATATTGCTGTAGACAGTGGTTATTGTTAGGTGGCAGTGTATATTGCTGTAGACAATGGTTATTGTTAGGTGGCAGTGTATATTGCTGTACACAGTGGTTATTGTTAGATGGCAGTGTATATTGCTGTAGACAGTGGTTATTGTTAGGTGGCAGTGTATATTGCTGTAGACAATGGTTATTGTTAGGTGGCAGTGTATATTGCTGTAGACAGTGGTTATTGTTAGGTGGCAGTGTATATTGCTGTACACAGTGGTTATTGTTAGGTGGCAGTGTATATTGCTGTACACAGTGGTTATTGTTAGGTAGCAGTGTATATTGCTGTAGACAATGGTTATTGTTAGGTGGCAGTGTATATTGCTGTACACAGTGGTTATTGTTAGATGGCAGTGTATATTGCTGTAGACAATGGTTATTGTTAGGTGGCAGTGTATATTGCTGTAGACAATGGTTATTGTTAGGTGGCAGTGTATATTGCTGTACACAGTGGTTATTGTTAGGTGGCAGTGTATATTGCTGTAGACAGTGGTTATTGTTAGGTGGCAGTGTATATTGCTGTAGACAATGGTTATTGTTAGGTGGCAGTGTATATTGCTGTAGACAGTGGTTATTGTTAGGTGGCAGTGTATATTGCTGTAGACAGTGGTTATTGTTAGGTGGCAGTGTATATTGCTGTAGACAGTGGTTATTGTTAGGTGGCAGTGTATATTGCTGTAGACAATGGTTATTGTTTAGGTGGTAGACAGTGGTTAGTGTATATTGCTGTACACAGTGGTTATTGTTAGGTGGCAGTGTATATTGCTGTAGACACAGTGGTTATTGTTAGGTGGCAGTGTATATTGCTGTACACAGTGGTTATTGTTAGGTGGCAGTGTATATTGCTGTAGACAGTGGTTATTGTTAGGTGGCAGTGTATATTGCTGTAGACAGTGGTTATTGTTAGGTGGCAGTGTATATTGCTGTAGACAGTGGTTATTGTTAGGTGGCAGTGTATATTGCTGTAGACAGTGGTTATTGTTAGGTGGCAGTGTATATTGCTGTAGACAGTGGTTATTGTTAGGTGGCAGTGTATATTGCTGTAGACAATGGTTATTGTTAGGTGGCAGTGTATATTGCTGTAGACAGTGGTTATTGTTAGGTGGCAGTGTATATTGCTGTAGACAATGGTTATTGTTAGGTGGCAGTGTATATTGCTGTACACAGTGGTTATTGTTAGGTGGCAGTGTATATTGCTGTAGACAGTGGTTATTGTTAGGTGGCAGTGTATATTGCTGTAGACAATGGTTATTGTTAGGTGGCAGTGTATATTGCTGTACACAGTGGTTATTGTTAGGTGGCAGTGTATATTGCTGTAGACAATGGTTATTGTTAGGTGGCAGTGTATATTGCTGTACACAGTGGTTATTGTTAGGTGGCAGTGTATATTGCTGTAGACAGTGGTTATTGTTAGGTGGCAGTGTATATTGCTGTACACAGTGGTTATTGTTAGGTGGCAGTGTATATTGCTGTAGACAGTGGTTATTGTTAGGTGGCAGTGTATATTGCTGTAGACAGTGGTTATTGTTAGGTGGCAGTGTATATTGCTGTAGACAGTGGTTATTGTTAGGTGGCAGTGTATATTGCTGTACACAGTGGTTATTGTTAGGTGGCAGTGGTTATTGTTAGGTGGCAGTGTATATTGCTGTACACAGTGGTTATTGTTAGGTGGCAGTGTATATTGCTGTACACAGTGGTTATTGTTAGGTGGCAGTATATTGCTATGGTTATTGTTGCTGTACACAGTGGTTATTGTTAGGTGGCAGTGTATATTGCTGTAGACAGTGGTTATTGTTAGGTGGCAGTGTATATTGCTGTAGACAGTGGTTATTGTTAGGTGGCAGTGTATATTGCTGTAGACAATGGTTATTGTTAGGTGGTGGCAGTGTATATTGCTGTACACAGTGGTTATTGTTAGGTGGCAGTGTATATTGCTGTAGACACAGTGGCAGTGCATATTGTTACAGTGGCAGTGTATATTGCTGTAGACAGTGGTTATTGTTAGGTGGCAGTGTATATTGCTGTAGACAGTGGTTATTGTTAGGTGGCAGTGTATATTGCTGTACACAGTGGTTATTGTTAGGTGGCAGTGTATATTGCTGTAGACAGTGGTTATTGTTAGGTGGCAGTGTATATTGCTGTACACAGTGGTTATTGTTAGGTGGCAGTGTATATTGCTGTAGACAGTGGTTATTGTTAGGTGGCAGTGTATATTGCTGTACACAGTGGTTATTGTTAGGTGGCAGTGTATATTGCTGCAGACAGTGGTTATTGTTAGGTGGCAGTGTATATTGCTGCAGACAGTGGTTATTGTTAGGTGGCAGTGTATATTGCTGTACACAAGTGGTTATTGTTAGGTGGCAGTGTATATTGCTGTACACAATGGTTATTGTTAGGTGGCAGTGTATATTGCTGTACACAGTGGTTATTGTTAGGTGGCAGTGTAGCACAGTGGTTATTGTTAGGTGGCAGTGTATATTGCTGTAGACAGTGGTTATTGTTAGGTGGCAGTGTATATTGCTGTAGACAGTGGTTATTGTTAGGTGGCAGTGTATATTGCTGTACACAGTGGTTATTGTTAGGTGGCAGTGTATATTGCCTGTAGACAGTGGTTATTGTTAGGTGGCAGTGTATATTGCTGTAGACAGTGGTTATTGTTAGGTGGCAGTGTATATTGCTGTAGACAGTGGTTATTGTTAGGTGGCAGTGTATATTGCTGTAGACAGTGGTTATTGTTAGGTGGCAGTGTATATTGCTGTAGACAGTGGTTATTGTTAGGTGGCAGTGTATATTGCTGTACACAGTGGTTATTGTTAGGTGGCAGTGTATATTGCTGTAGACAGTGGTTATTGTTAGGTGGCAGTGTATATTGCTGTAGACAATGGTTATTGTTAGGTGGCAGTGTATATTGCTGTACACAGTGGTTATTGTTAGGTGGCAGTGTATATTTGTAGACAGTGGTTATTGTTAGGTGGCAGTGGTTATTGTTAGGTGGCAGTGTATATTGTGTATATTGCTGTAGACAGTGGTTATTGTTAGGTGGCAGTGTATATTGCTGTTAGACAGTGGTTATTGTTAGGTGGCAGTGTATATTGCTGTAGACAGTGGTTATTGTTAGGTGGCAGTGTATATTGCTGTAGACAGTGGTTATTGTTAGGTGGCAGTGTATATTGCTGTACACAGTGGTTATTGTTAGGTGGCAGTGTATATTGCTGTAGACAGTGGTTATTGTTAGGTGGCAGTGTATATTGCTGTAGACAGTGGTTATTGTTAGGTGGCAGTGTATATTGCTGTACACAGTGGTTATTGTTAGGTGGCAGTGTATATTGCTGTGTACACAGTGGTTATTGTTAGGTGGCAGTGTATATTGCTGTAGTGGTTATTGTTAGGTGGCAGTGTATATTGCTGTACACAATGGTTATTGTTAGGTGGCAGTGTATATTGCTGTAGACAGTGGTTATTGTTAGGTGGCAGTGTATATTGCTGTAGACAGTGGTTATTGTTAGGTGGCAGTGTATATTGCTGTAGACAGTGGTTATTGTTAGGTGGCAGTGTATATTGCTGCAGTGTTACTGTTACACAGTGGTTATTGTGTTAGGTGGCAGTGTATATTGCTGTAGACAGTGGTTATTGTTAGGTGGCAGTGTATATTGCAGTATATTAACGTAGACAGTGGTTATTGTTAGGTGGCAGTGTATATTGCTGTAGACAGTGGTTATTGTTAGGTGGCAGTGTATATTGCTGTAGACAGTGGTTATTGTTAGGTGGCAGTGTATATTGCTGTACACAAGTGGTTATTGTTAGGTGGCAGTGTATATTGCTGTACACAGTGGTTATTGTTAGGTGGCAGTGTATATTGCTGTAGACAGTGGTTATTGTTAGGTGGCAGTGTATATTGCTGTACACAGTGGTTATTGTTAGGTGGCAGTGTATATTGCTGTACACAGTGGTTATTGTTAGGTGGCAGTGTATATTGCTGTAGACAGTGGTTATTGTTAGGTGGCAGTGTATATTGCTGTAGACAGTGGTTATTGTTAGGTGGCAGTGTATATTGCTGTAGACAGTGGTTATTGTTAGGTGGCAGTGTATATTGGTGTTAGACGTGATGTTTTAGTACATTGGAAGTTTCTGTGATAGAGTGAGACAAGGGCAATTCGGGGTTTCCTTCAACCTGACTTGTATCTTATACACTTGACAAATGCACACTGTTTTGGGGAGCTGATCACATGCCAATGACACTTATATAGGGCCTATTGCTTTTGCTGTTACCTAATTGGCCTATTGTATTGCTTCTAGTGATTGTAAACCTAATCCTGTGTGTTTCAACATAATTTGTTGATTATGCATTGATCTTTAGTGGTCATTTTCTGATAATACTAATCAGTATCTTATCTTCAAACCTATATTCTGAATTTCCCCCTGTGAGACTGATATTCTGTTATCAAGATATCTAGAGGCATGGGGCTTTCTGTTTCTAAGGAGTACTGTACTAGATGTCAGTTTTTTCTTAATCTGGAAGAGTTGTTATTGAACTGGAAGAGCTTCCACTAATTTGTTATCAGTCAAGCTACGGTCATAGGAAGGACTTGTACAGCATTTGGCAACATTAGATGCAAAGACAAATATGGGATAGGTCTGCTGTACAAGTTTCTGGGGTAAAGAGTAAGGGAAAGGTGGGGGATGGGGTCACTTTTCTTTGTTCCAATGGAGTTACAGGTAAGAACTGCCCTTCCGCAGCCCTTGCTGTGAAAAGCAAAGTAACAGGATGATGTGATCAGGATCGGACTGCTTGATGCATGTCATTGTGTACATCAATGGTCATGATAACTGGACTGTCTGCTCCAGGCTCCATTATTCACAAACCAATATCTCATAGCTGGAACATTGCTGAGGGAGTCTTGATCAGCAGTTCTGTTTTGAATGTAAAGCAAACACCCTCCCACTGATGATTCCTGTCGGACTCTGATATGACCCATGCATTTTGCTATGGGAAAACGAGTGGGGCTGATTCACTGTTGACATGGAATGTAAATGTTTCAGCTTATCTGGCCTCATATAGCTGTGTATCCTTTATTTCAGGGATGCATAAGAAGTACATAAGATATAAATTATATATTTGTCAAAAGCAAGTAACTGTAAAATACAGGACAGCAAAACTATAACTACAGAAGAACATAACTTTAAACCTCTGTGTAACACAACTGTAACCAGCAGGATAAATAAAATACAGGAATACACATCGGTAAAATACTGACAAACACATCTTAAGCCACAGGAATATACACCCATCAACTACAAGAATCCATGCTTGTCAACTATAAGACACCCATACCTGTAAACTAAGGCAGATCACAACAGTAAACTACATAACACAACCAAAAACTGACAGAAAACAAAACCTTAAACTAAAGGAGAAGGCAAAAGTAAACCACAGCACAATAACCATGAACTTATAGATAACAAAACCTTAAACTAAAGGTGAAGGCAAAAGTAAACCACAGCACAATAACCATGAACTTATAGATAACAAAACCTTAACCTAAAGGTGAAGGCAAAAGTAAACCACAGCACAATAACCATGAACTTATAGATAACAAAACCTTAAACTAAAGGTGAAGGCAAAAGTAAACCACAGCACATAACCGTGAACTAACAGATAAGGCCACATACAAAAATATTCTTGTTTCTCATTACTTTTTAAAACAAGCAGTTGTCACTAAGGTGACATAATCCCCCGCCGCAAACTATCAAATTAAACTTAAAGAGTAATGAAAGTGAAGGACGTAGGTTAAGATGGAAGTTAAATGTCAACAAAAACATGATCAGTCAACCTCTCATGATATCTTGCTCTGCTCTGTAGCTGTTCAAACACACAAATAGTTTCAAGACTCACTTTGACCTTGACATTAATGTCATGGTGTATGAAAAATGCAAAAAATAGTAATAGAGAAATTGCTTGAAAGAGAAGTCTTGAAAGTCTATGAAGAAAATCCAGTGAAAAAAACTTGAGATATCTTGCTGACAATCTTAACATACAGAAATCTTCAAAGTGTCGCTGTGACCTTGAAGATTATGGGAAGGTCACTAAACTCGACTGGGCCCTGCATCTTCCCTAAAACGTTAAAGTCCCCTTGTGACCTTGAAATGAAGGTCAAGATCACCAAACCTGACTTGGACCTTTCTAATACTGTGATGAACCTAGGTACCAAGTATGAAAAGAATCCAGTCAATGGTTCTTAAGATATTCCAATTCGTATGTACGTATGGACGGACGGACGAAGCCTAATACCACAGGCCCTAATACCACAAATGGATGACAATATGTCAGGACAAAATCGGGATGTGGTCGAAGCAAGCCCTTTGATTGGTTGATGCTTGTTAAGGAGACATTTACAACTGATGCTTTCTTTTGAGAAGTCATTGCTCGAAAAATATCCTTACATTAAGCAGTCGATGAAAAGAAACATTCCAGCGAATTTACAAACGAGTGAATGAGAGTATGGTTTTAAGCCGCTTTTAGCAATATTCCAGCAATATCACGCCACTGGACACCAGAAATGGGCTTCACACATTGTACCCATGTGGGGAATCGAAGCCAGGTCTTCGGCGTGACGAGCGAACGCTTTAACCACCGCCCCAGCTAATTTACAAAGAATGTGCCGATTTGCAAGCACTGACCAATCAAAGGGCTTGCTTCGACCACACCCCCGTTTTGTCCGGACATATCGTCATTCATTTGTGTCAAGATCGTTTAGTTGAGTGTCTAAATCGGGTTTCAATCGACTTGCAGAAATAACAATAAAGAATTGGCAGGTTTCATGAGTGGTGATCGATAGGCCAATCATTCATGATTATGTTTACATTAAGTTTTATTCGATTGCATGCGATGGTAGCATAGCGATCGGCAAAGCAGGTGGGTGGGGTACACCGAAGTGTCCGGCCTTGTCATGATGTATTGTACTGTGAAGCATTTCGAGTCAGGGATCATCTAAAAAATATAATCTTTTTAATCTTTAATTTTTGCAAAGGCACGAGGGCCTGTGCCTAATACTATATCCCCCGCTTCGCTCTAACCACACAACGGGGGATAAAAAATATGGGGCAGGCTGCGGATTTTATTTTTACATTTTATTTAATTTTATGTCCCAAACCAGTTGATTTCTGAGGAAATTTACACCTTTTCTCCAATAGAAAATCACTTAGAAGTGTGAAAAATTCATGCACATTTTGAGAGCCAAAGTTGCATTTTCTCTAGTGTTAAAAACATATAAAATCTTAGGGTCAGGTCGAATTTTTGGGTTGGGTGGTAATGAGAAACAAGAATATTTTTATATATGGCCTAACATAACCTAAACTAAAGGGGAAGGCAAAAGTAAGCTACAGAATACAAACTTAAACTAATAGAGAACAAAACCATAAATTAAAGGTGAATACAACAGTAAACTAGAGAATGTCATAACTACCTGGCAGCACTTGAAGGCAAACTGTAGAAAGTCAAGCGGGCAGTAGATGACCTTTTCACTGAATGCAACATAGTCCACTCCCGAAGTTCTGTAAAGAAATAAATATCAGTTTGTGATTAATTGGTTTCCTTTTGCACTGTTAATAATGTCTTGTAACTGGCATCTTACTCCACACCGAAAGTTTTTATACAAATACTTGGAAATGTAAATGATGTTATGTTCTTCATCAAGTGGTAAAAAGAGGACATGAAGGCCTCATAGTTCTTGTTAAGGGAAATAACTCCGCATACCTTAGTGCGTGGAAGGTTGTCCGGATCAGAGTCAACACGTGCAGTAATCTCACACAGGATAATACCATAAGAAAATACATCAGCCTGAAAAAAATAATTAACATAGCACATCATTGTGTTTACCCTTAATTCATTATCAATACAATTATACATGGACAAATGCATTTAATGAGGAATACAAGAAACTAACTGTGAACATTGACTAACAGCTTATTTCTTTAGTCTGATCATAAATCTTACCCAAATGGATGTATTATAATACTATCTCACGGAATTGTACTCTCTCACTTATCATCAACAGTTGAGTGGAAACGAACTGTAAACAAAGTTTCTGTCCTCTCTCTCTCTCTCTTGAGTTAGTGAGTTTGGTTTTATGCTGCTTTTAGCAATATTCCAGTAATATCGCGGCAGGGGACACCAGAAATGGGCTTCATATATTGTACCCATGTGGGGAATCAAACCCGGGTCTTCGGCATGTCGAGCCAACGCTGTAACCACTAGGCTACCCCACCGCCCACCTCTCTCTTGAACCCTTTGCCCGAACACACCCCACAGCTCCCGCTCCTGGACAGCCTGTGCTCTGATGTGTCATGTGACTCCTTTGTCTACTCAATCTCGTCTTGGATCAATACCATCTCCCGCGATCATCATAAAGACAGAAGGCTCAACTGTTTAATTTTCGGTTCCGAGCGACATCAAATGACCTTCGCTCCTTTGCATAAGGTTAGTCAAGGATGTGCCCGACAACTATAGTCCGTTTGGCTCAAAAGCGGACCGATGAATTGCAATCTCACACGAAAACTAATAAACATAACATACTCAATGAAACGCTGATCATAATCAAAACATCATACCAACTCTGTGTGTTTTTTGCAGAATTTTTGTCCTAAAAATAATAAAATTGTTTAACAAACTATCATCAAAATATTGACACAGTTCACTATTTGTTACGAGGGAGGAGTGCAGAGAAAGGGACAGCCAGGTGTTCGAGAAGCACATTCACAGACAGTTATTTATTCATTAACCTGTGCTGTGCTGTCTCCATCCGTTCTCGAACACCTGGCTGTCGGAGGGACCATCCAAGAAATCATCATGCTCAGAAGTGGAAAGAGAGACTGTGGCTGGTCTGTTATTCTTGCTTTCTGCTAAGCAGACGGGCCTGAATCCTCTCATTTCTCCCTATCTCTGTCCACCAGAAGTCTAGATGTAACCTAATGATAGATGGTAAAATCATCATCATTGAGGTTGACGCCAAAAATGCACCTAGCAGTCCATGCACAGAGTCCAATACAGTCGATACATGATGGGTGCGGATCCAAGCTCAAAAGGTTCTTCTTGTATCTGCAGCAAACCTTTCTTTTCTGGATGATTTATATTCCTTTCCCATGACTATATGGAGTCTCAGACAACTACAAGGTGTCAGCAAAAATAACAGCATGTCAGCACTCTGGTGCAACAAGAAAGAGAATGACTAGACAAAGGTGAGATGAGGTGAGGTGAGGTGAGGTAAGGTGAGGTGAAATTGAGTTTTACGTCGTGCTAGAGAATATTTCGCTCATATGACGACGTGCATGCGTGTGTATGTGTATGTGCAGCTGCTTGTACTAGCCTAGACTGAAGCTTGTTTTATAGTGCTAGCCCACTGAGATACCATGCCGCAGTGAAGCATGGATACCCCACTCAGATACATTATACTGACTCCAAGCCTACCAGTCCTTGATGTACCCATTAATGCCGAGAGCCAGGCAGGGACCAACAAGTACCATATTTTAACGTCTTTTAGTATGACGCGGTCGGGGATCAAACCCGCGACCTTCCGCTCTCCGGGCGGACGCTCTAACCACTACACCAGGGAGGACTAGACAAAGGAGTCAAATGACCCATCAGAGCACAGGCTGCATGCTTCTCAGGAGTTGCCAGGCTGTCCATGAACAGAAACAGTGGGGTGTGTTCGGGAGAAGGGTTCAAGAGAAGCCAGAAACTTTGTTTACAGTTTGTTTCTACTCAACTGTCAATCATAAAAGAGAGAGTACAATCCGTGACATAGGATAAGTTTAAAAATATATGTAAACATTTTATTCCTACATTTGCACATATAAGTGTTTTACCCTTTCATTATAATATAGACCATTAAGAGCCTCAGGCGCCATCCAAAAGGGTGAACCCACCACTGGTAGTCGTTGGTAGTCGTTCCTGAAATGACACACTATATGTCAAAAGACACAAAAGTAATGCTAATCCCTCTCTCAGAATGCATGATATATCACAAACCTTAAAAACAGATAACGGAACAGTGTTGGTTAACATATTCGTTTTTATTTTAGAGAGACAAGAACTGAATCAAAATATTTGAATTTAACATTAATCAAATATTTGCCATTGTTGGCACCAATAACTTTTCATATTAAAATGCAAGGCAGGGTCTACCTACAGTGGGTCAGGTATCTTGACGGATAAACCAAAATCTGCAATCAGTGCTGTGTAGCGGCCATTATCATGTTTCCGCAACAGGACATTCTGTGTCAACACACAAACAAAAGGCATGTACATTACAATGAAGAAGGAACAGTTGAAATTCTTGAAAATAATCCTCAGGCATGCAACTCCCTTATTTTAACGTCAGTATCACTTTACAGAAATACATAAGAAGCCTGGGTTCATTCAGTGAGAAAATGATCTTGCTACACAGTTTTGATAATTTACAATTCTCTTCATCTGCTATCGGAAGGCCTCATTTGAAACAACCTCTAAACACCATCTTTATCTCATTTTCTAGAGTATTTTCAATAAGTCATGATCCAAATTGTTTCACTTGGCCAGTATATATTCCATCTTCTTCTCTAGACAAGATTTTCTACACAATCAAGTTAGCGAGGCTAGTCAATAGAACAAAAGATGAAGGAAGTTACCTTGGAGGTGAGATCCCTGTGGAAGAAGCCCCGAGAGTGGAGATAGTTGACACCACGCGCCATGTCCAGCGCCAGGCTGATCCGCTGAGTCCAGGGCAGCTCCTCCTCCCACCTCGCCAATAGCTGCTCCAAGTTCCCGCCATTGATGAACTGAAATGTAGACTCATCACTGCTCATACTGTACATACTATGTTGGAAACAAATAGCATTGATCCTATTACAATCATGATTTCCATGTGTTTTAGCAACATACTGTAGCAATGTGTTGAGAACATGTTACCATAGGAATGAATTTATATGTTGTTAAATACTCAAGTTTCTATGACAAGCAACCAAAACCACTTCCAGATGATTATCCAGATGAGGATTACAAACCCGAAGAAGTAAGCACTGCTGATCATATCATATTGATAGTTTTTTTCATGAGATACATATTCATCAACATGAGTTAATTGTGTTGACCAAGAACTGATTTGGGACTACAACAGTACATTGTAGTGAGATCAGAAGAAATGCCACCATGACCTTTCCTTACATTTGCAGTATATTCATACATGGTACATGGAAGCGAAAACCATGGGCAATATGTCAATAACTATGATTATATTAAGAATGCTGTTGGAATGATATGACTAAGGGACCGTTCATAATTTATGGCTAGGGGGATGATGATGATTTTAAGAGAGGGGTGGGGTGGGGGTGTTCACCCAATTTGATTTTTTGATTTTTTATTTATTTATTTTTTTGGGGGTAGGGGAGAGAGGGAGGGGAAAATCACTGCTTTTGTACATGACATGGGGGGGCACTGATTTTGTACACGACATGAAGGGGGGTTCACTTACTTTGTACATAAATTTTAGGGGGAGCCATTCACATTATACATGCTTCTCCATCACCCCCCTAACCATAACTTATGAACGGCCCCTAAAGAGATCAGTAACTTTGACTGTTTCCATTTTTCAAATATCGTGTATGAACAATATAAAGTATCTAAAATGCTCTATTTACTACAGAAAAACTTTGCCAGTCTCACCTATCTAACTGAAATGTCCAAGTTTAACATAAACATACACCCATTTCCCTGGAACTAAGTCAATTTCATCTCAGGATCTTGTTCATAGTACAAATATGGAAGCTACCTGTCTTGACTCAATCAGCATTTCCTTTCATGTCTTTAGAGAAGCAAATAGGTTGAAGCATCACCATTCCCTTGTTCCTGTGTGAGGCAATGCTCCAAGCTCTGCCCAGCAATGCCAGTTATAGTAAAGAGGGCTGCTGCCGACATCACTCTCACCACGCTCACTATGACCATATTTATTTCTACTGAAGGTGTCTGTTAAACATCATTACATGTCCGCCATTCCAATGGCAAAGGGGGCGGTGGGGTAGCCTAGTGGTTAAAGCGTTGGCTCGTCACGCCGAAGACCGGGTTCGATTCCCCACATGGGCACAATGTGTTAAGCCCATTTCTGGTGTCCCCCGCCGTGATATTGCTGGAATATTGCTAAAAGCGGCGTAAAACTAGACTCAGTCAGTCAGTCCAATGGCAAAGTCATAGTATTAACACTCAAATGCTGGACAAACATAAGCTCATATTAAATATGGCTTGAAATAAAGTTTATAACAGAGCTATTGTAGTCCTACAAAAATATCTGACAAGTAGATAATACAGCCCCCATAAATGGAAATCTGAACATCTGTTCAACAGCAACTGAACCTCAGATGTGGAGACGACAATCTAGTTGCACCAGGGGTTATCATGATCAACTATCTAGGTATAGTTTGAGCTGGGTGTCAGCCTGCACCAGGGGTTATCATGATCAACTGTCTACGTACAGTTTGAGCTGGGTGTCAGCCTGCACCAGGGGTTATCATGATCAACTGTGTAGGTACAGTTTGAGCTGGGTGTCAGTCTGCACCAGGGGTTATCATGATCAACTGTCTAGGTACAGTTTGAGCTGGGTGTCAGCCTGCACCAGGGGTTATCATGATCAACTGTCTACGTACAGTTTGAGCTGGGTGTCAGTCTGCACCAGGGGTTATCATGATCAACTGTCTACGTACAGTTTGAGCTGGGTGTCAGTCTGCACCAGGGGTTATCATGATCAACTGTCTAGGTACAGTTTGAGCTGGGTGTCAGCCTGCACCAGGGGTTATCATGATCAACTATCTGGGTACAGTTTGAGCTGGGTGTCAGTCTGCACCAGGGGTTATCATGATCCTGTGTACAACTGGATATGATGCTGGACCTAGCACGGTCAAGTTACCACTTCCTCCAGTCTGTCAGCTGTCTCACACATCTTGCTGAGTAGGAAGTCAACAACTTATACATAGGAACAAGCACACTCTAAATACACTTTATACACTTCATGTAACTCCACCATGGTGAGACGTGGAGAAAACAACACCAAACAAGCAGGAATTACTCAATCCCTGCATGTTACATGTTTTACAGAGAATTCAATTGGCCCCTTGTGTGGATGACACCCTGACAGACTTTACTGGACAAAACACCTACCACACTGATACATACTATGGATAGTTTTATGAAACTGTATTGGTTTGGGGCTGATTCTGATGAAACACATGAATACACTGTGTGGTGATATCTCAACAGTAAATACACCCCACCTGCAAATAACACTTGTTTCTGTGTAAATATGATGCAATGATTTCATTTTGCATTGGAAACCCATAGCAGGTAAATTGGGGAAAAAACACATTTTTCAAAACTGTATCTCTTTACTGTTTTTGGTTTTATAAATTCTGAGCCTATTAGTTTTTTTTTTTTAAATCGAGCTGAAATTAATAATTTCTGTGGTGACAATATTTCAGCATGTCGATAATAACAGTTTGTAGTATGTTACCTCCCACAGTCCTACCTGTCAACATCAGTGGCAAACCTTGAGCCATCAGGCTCCATACATCATCAGAGAATTTTGAGAATGTTTACAAAAGGAATGACCAAAATCTATCAAAGGAAGAAACACAACCCAAGTAGTTTAAATTTCAATGTAATGTTACTCAATACACAATTTACTGTTGGTATATTGAAAAAGATTTCCTTGGCCCTAAACAAATTATCAAGATTTTGGTTAACAAAAGACATGTTTATGACACTGTCTTGCATGTGCATGTTGGCTGCAATATCAACAAAGATTAATCAACCAACACATAATTAAGTGTCAATTAAGTTTAAGTTTGCCCACATTAAGGTAAAACTAAGTATTTTTAACCTTCATCCCAATTTAATTCAGTAGGTCAGCAATACATTCCTTAATGTCCATCCTTCTAGTTCTATTCGATGGTCAGCCTATCACCAAACATATTTTATTTAACACATGTTCATTTTGTCTTTTCCCAGAATTGAGGAATGAAGGATATTTATGGCAGAAAATTACCAAAATATTCCTAAATGGTACACAGAACTAACAATGGTGAATCAGTACTAGCCCATTTATGACAAAGATAGCAGGTAAACTGATGGGTGGTGAAATGCTGTGAATACCACATTTATTTGGTTGTGGAGGTCAATCCTCTGGCTGGCATTCAGTCTAGTTGTGAGGAGGTGGTGGCAGAGAAGGCAGGTACAGCTGCTGATGCCAGCACTGGGAACAACTGACAAACTTCCTCATTGCACACTACAAGCCCCTACTACAAACTGGGTCAGCATGACCTTGCAGCTCTACATGAAGCAGCTTCCACAAAGTGGCAAGTGGTACACAGCTGGGTATATTTGGAAAGCTGACAATCAACATCAGTAACAAGATGTTTCTGTGCACTCAGAGAATGATTTCATAAGGAATTTGTTATATGAACAAATAATATAAGAAAAACAAAATAACTGAAGTTTTATGCTTGGAGGAGATGTCTATACAATGGCACAACAGAGACAGAATATCTACATTCTAGAACAAGACTTGCTTCAATTACTTCACTAACCCTGCCAGCCCAGTCCTCAGAAAACTGGTCCTTACGGCCAAACGATGGCATTGAATGGATCAGTTAACTCCATATGACAAGTACAGATGCAGTTAGATGATATTCCACAGACATTATACATACTCAAGTTGTTTCAATTCAAGACAAGGGAATATAGACTGCTTTCATGTTTTATAACATTGCTCTCTGACATAAAATAGACTTGGATAAACCTTGCAGAATGGCACGAAAGCAGAATCACTTCATAATATTCCAACTGAATCCATTTGTGCACCCGAGTAAATTTAAGTATATTGCATGTATGTTGTAAAGAAACCACGTCTTATTTCTTACTGCTACATTTTATGTATTAGGTGTGCTTTTTTAACTCTTTGTGAAAGGACTTACACACAGAAAAACATAACACCTAAAACCTAACATAAGCCTCTAATGGCAGCCGTAGCAACACAAGGTAGCTTTCATTAACACTGTAAAGAGAGGCAGTCAGTGGTAGGGTATGTTGAGTGGTTCCTACCTCTGTCAGTGCATGTAGCTGGCCTTCATGAACACAAACTCCCAGAAACCTGTAACACAACAAACAAACAAAAAGTCATCACATAACAGTCTGACATGTCATAGACGTTATGGACTGATGAAAATAACAGGCTTACAGTGGCCCTGGGAATTATACTATATTTTGTCATAAAGGTGCACACTGGCAAATATGCTTTTGATGAAGTTGGTAAATCTGCATGACCTTGGACTCACATTAAGTTTACTCAGTCCACAGAAACTTATCGTATATTCTTGTGTATAAAAAACACATTTTCTCCAGAAAGGGCAGCTGAGTTGAGGAGTATAAAGCTTCATACATACAGCCAGTAAGTTTGTTTCCCAGAAGACATTACCTAAGTCATGTAACAATTAGCATGTGTACCGAGGTCATTATGGTTCCACTAGTTAGGAAATGAACACAGTGTATTTCTGGATTTACATTTTCAACTTTTTCATTCAATATTGTTTCACAATGTCTGAATGTCTTGCCAAAGGCTCGCAGAATACAATTTTTATTCTTAATATATGATATTAATTATACGGAAACACGCTTGGTTAATTATCTCATTATCACATAATGTCATTCTTAAAATTACTCTTAAAAAAAAGAAGCAAATCATACATGAATTTATATAACAGAACCAACCATTCGCATAAGAATACTTAGCGGTGCACCAAGGTGAAGGTCTTTCATAACAGCAGCATATGATTGTGACTAGTCAGTAATAGTAGTGCAAACATGACTCTTGCATAAAATAAGATCTTTCTATTTAAAAAGAACAGCATAATCAGGCAGTTTTCACGAGTGATCACCTCATCAATATCAGTTTCTGATACCTGACGGAATCGATTTGTAGTCTGCTTTGTTGTGATCGATAGATTGAAATCCTTGGTTGGTACCTTTCTTAGACGATCACCTTTAACTCGTGCCTCATAATCCATACCTTCAATTTGAATGAAGTATTTTGTTTAATGTTTTCCAAAGTCAATTACTGCAGTAACAACACCAGAGCCTCTGTCATCAATTCTTACAAAATCACCAAGTTTGATAGTGGGGGGCAGCCTTTTTGTTTACAAATTCACCAACACAATAGCAAATCCCAGGCATGGTGTGCATGGATTTTTGTGAAAGTATATGCTTGATGGGCATTTAAAAGTTGGAAAATAACATAACAACGTATGGTATGGATTTACAACTTCCTTAATGTTTACAACACAATGTTTCTGGGCTACTTCTTGCCCCTTCATCAGGTGAATGACAGAATATGATTACGAGCAAAATATATAGTATGTACAAGAGGCCAGTGAGATAGTATTACAGATTGAGATGTACAGAGATCAAGGAATTTCACTTTGAGTCTGTTAGGAATAATGTTATCTTTGCATCTCAGGAGAAAGGTCAGGTTTTTCTTGGTTTTTACATACTTGCCCATCAAGCATCTGATCTGTCATCTACATGGAGATGAAGCTGTATGATTCATGAACCTCAACTCTACTATCAACTCCAAGGTCAAGAGAACTGCCTTGAACTCGAGTTTGTTGATGTGAAGGAACTGCTCTTCTACTGACCACAGTCCTGCCGCTTGATGCTCATGAAGCTCTCCAACCTCGGAGTGACGCATCTACGAACAGGGGAAGCGTCCCGAAATATGACAAGCCCTTAGGCAACATCTTGTACGTTCAGCAATGGCAAAGAAATGTTGCGTGACTTGTAAGAGACTCATCGATCTGGTTCCTCCCTGCTTGTTCACATAAGCCACTACCGTAGAATTGTCCGTGGCTAACATGACGCTCTTGCCGTGCAGAATCCAACTCCAGTGAGCCAAGGCTTTTACAATGGTTAGCATTTCCAATACGTTGATGTGGTATACACTCTCCTGTGGAGACCATGTGCCCTGAACTTGTCACTGTTCCATGTGCGCTCCCCATCCTGTGATCCAAGTAGATCATGATATCCTGAGGAGGTGGATGAAACGGAGTGCCCAGTAGAACATTTGACTCCTGTGTCCACCAAAGTAATTCTGTCTTGACATGATTTGGGCAGACAATTAATGTGTCTAGATCCAAAGTTCTGTTCCGGTTTATCCACACTTGGGTTTCCCGAAGATGTATTCTGCCCTGTAGCGTAAAATCTTGGATGGAAGTCAGAGACCCTAGTAGAGACATCCAGTTCCTGACTGACGCCTGCGGCATCCTGATATCTTGCAGTATTCTGGTCCTTAACTTCTCCCAACGATCCTCCGGAGGATAAATACGGCAAGTTCTTGCATCCAATACTGCTCCTAAGAACTTTATCCTTGGGGACGGTGTTCATTTCGACTTTTCCAGATGAATGATTAGTCCCAAATGTGTAAACACATGAATTATAAACTTGGTCTGCCTTATAAGCCTGTTTGTGATCGTATTCATGGCCAGGAAATCGTCCAGATAACCGTGAATGGCTATGCATCTGTGATGAAGAAAGGCTACACTTGGAGTTATCACTGCCGTAAACAGCCAAGGAACAAGGGATATGCCGAATGGTATGACTCTGAACTGATACCTGCGACCATTTACCGCGAACCTCAGGTATCTCTGTGACCGAGGATGTATAGGAACATTGAGATCCATGCTTATAAACTTGGCTTCCAGTTGAATAAGGCTGCACAAATTGCTCAATGATTCAATCTTGAACTTTGGTGGTTTTCGCAGAAAATTCTTGTTGAGGATCTTTAGGTCTATAATCATGCACATTTCTACGGTATCCTTTTTAAGCACCAGAAATATGGGTGAATCAAAACCTTCCAAAGTGTCCTGCAGGGATAATTCTATTATGACTTGCTTCTCCAATAACTGATGTATAGCTTTTTTGGCCAGTACTAGCCAATGGCCTTTAATAAAAAATCAGATGGCATGTGACTGGTTGAACCTCCCAAGGTAGATGAACGATCAACGAATTACCGATAGTATCCAAGAGTCCCTTGCAATATGCTCCCAGTTCCTGTGGTACTGAGCTAGACGACCCCCTACTGGTGAGGGAGCCACCGGCTGAACAAAATTGAAATCTAACTCCAATTCCGGGGACAGTTCCAAATCGTAAGGCATAGAATGAGCTATTAGATCAGAGTCAAAATTTCCTAGCCCTTGAGGGGCGAAAGGACCTAGCCCCCCTACCTCTACCTCTAGAACTAGAAGGAGCTCCCCGTTGTGATGGAGTAAAAGTATGCGGCCTAGTATCCATGGCCCTGTCAAAGGCCGAGCGGTGTAGAGGAGCCCGATGATTCATAGACTGCCAGTGGGAACCCGAGCTAGACTGTGATCCATCACTCCTACCCCTAGAGCAGTTCTGAATCTATTCTGGTTCAGTAGGGCCATGGCCAAATGCTGATTTAAATTCCTGGAAGTAATAGCATCCTTCTTTTCCACTGCTTGTTGACACTGGCCGTTGAAAATCCTCAGAATTTAATGGCCGTTGGAACATCAAATCTTTAGTAGATTCTGGTAAATTCCGGACCGAATTTAGCTTGTGAGACCTCTTCATAGCAGTGAGTCTGCCCAGCGAGTACACCTGGTTCTGAGTAGTGTCCGAAACGCCCTGATATAACACATCTAGGTAGGGCTGGAACGATTCACCGATGCACCGATACAACACGATAAATTTTAGTTTGATACAGCTATCGTATTGTCGACTGGTGTATTGATACAAAACCAGAGGAAGCAGAACACGGACCAATTTTGATGACTCAAATATGTCAATAGAAGAACAGGCTCCAATATCAAGTTCCTTGAAGTCTCTAGGAAGGCATGGTATGGCATTGTCTCTGTGATTCCTAGCCTCCAGTAAGCTAAAGTCCTTATCTACCGTATATGACCGACTATAAGTCGGAAAAATCAGACCCGACTTATAATTGAGTTCATTAATCTACCCCAAAATTTCCAGAGGTCAGGTGAGTGAATCTGCCAGCCCAGCAAACTCATCTGGCAATGTTTACACCGGAAGCAGGAAGCATATACGTATTGACAACGTTTCCAAAGGTAAATGACATCGTGGGACAAATAAAACATAAAATATAAAATTTTGTTTTTTGTCTTTTGTAAAATATATTTCATAATATAAACGTTAAATTAAATTTAATCAGATATTTTGATCACGACTATTTACTTACTTTGTTATCGATCGATAAATTTGGGCCACGTGACACGAGTTGAAAGAAAGTTTCTTGTAAAGTAAACATCTTTGTATTCTGTGGCAGTTTTGTGTGATGGTTTTGAAAAATACTGTTAATAATTTAATAAATACTACAGATAATATTAATCAAGAAATTACATCGAAGTCAAATATCTGTGTCACTCAATCAGTCGCGGTTGTACAGTAGCGTTCGCTCAATGCATCCAACACAATGAGTGTTCCCAAATGAACAGTTTTTGATACAAAAATATCATTTTGAAGCACATTTACAGAAATATTTTGACATCATAATTTCCGCATCAAACATATTTGAATCTAGTAACATTTATATGATGTGTTTTCAATGATAGTCTTTACACATACACTCACTTTTTAAACATACACTCACTTTTTAAACAAAGTCGAAAAACATTTCACACAAACACAACCTTTCTTGGTTATGTAAGGCTTCTGTTGATTGGCCTTTCATTTTATCATTAGCCAATCAGAAATCTGTTCTCAAAATAAACAAGTTTCAGGTATTGAACATGCTTGAACATGCTTTTACAAAAGATAACAAACACATGTTTACGTTCGTCATGTTACAGTGTTGAACAGTCACGATGTTGATCTACCCAATACCGATAAATACGGGGAAAGGGGTCGACTTATATTTGAGTTACATGGTTTTGGCAAGAATTTAGAGGGTTGAGCAAGGGGCCCGACTTATAGTCAGATCCGACTTATAGTCGGTCATATACGGTAAATGAGGCAAACTAGCTGGCGGATTCCGACTGTGGATGGCATGCGCTGGTCTCTGACGAATCCTAGGTAATGACTATAGCTAACTAGACTTGTTCAACGACTCATTGTAGTTATCCAAAGTAGCCTTGACAACTGAAGAATAATTTCAGGCTACCTTCTGGATGGTAAACATCCGGACAACCCCAGCTCAATGGGTATCTCCTGTTCCATATTTCCCGTAGGAGGCAGTGTATTTGGATAGAGAGCATGATGAAGTTCCATTTGTTCCTTCAAGGACCATCCCGGAGTATAGTCATCTGCTGACGTATCAATAGATGGCAAAGTAATAAATCCTTCCTTCATGACTAGTTCTGGGTTAGCCGCAGGATAAGCCGTATGCCCGGGACTAACGTAATAATTGTAGGATTGTCCGTATCAATGAACTCCCGACTAACCGTAGTCTTAACTGAAGTAGACAGTGCACCATCTGCCACAGATCCGTAGCATTTTGAGGAAGGGAGCCCGAGAAATCAATTTGCCTCTGTAAATCTGAGATCTTCCTTTCATTACGTAATTTAAAATCATGGAATGACTGCTGCATGGATGATTGAATTTCCATTTTGAAAGAAGACACAGGGATGAGAATGAAGTTTTGAGAAAAACTCTGAAAACTAGCCGGGGGTCTGGGGGCCGCAGGATTTAGACGATTCACAAAAATGACCCTTGGCCTAATGAAATCCCTGGAATTCCACAGATCCGAAAAAAATTCTCATCCCTGAAGACAATAGATCTGTAATAGCTGACAAATCGACCTGGCTAGATGATGAGCTTGATTTAGACTTCAATTTTTACTTAGAGTCCGATTTAACTACCGAACTAGGAGGCTGAGAGTCAGATTTCTTACTCCTAGCGGAATCTGAATCCTCTGACAATTTCCTTTTCCTCGCCTGATTAAGGGCTGTATCCATGTTAACCCATTTCTCCATAGATAAGGCAGAACATAGCAAACAGCGATTTTCTACTGTACAAGGGCCTCCCACAAAACATGATGCACATAGGGAATGTGGATCCAATTCAGCCATAAACTTTTGGCATTGAACGCATTTATTCTGAGACAGCTAAGTCCAAAAAGGCGGGAAAATTCAAGCTTCACAAAATAGTCAAAATTTTCACAATATGTAATAAAGTCACAAAGAGATTGTCTATAGTGACAAAATGCGATCTCTACTGACCGTACACTTGAAGAATCTGAAGACTTAAACTTGAAAAAATTCTCTTCCACTCTGAACACGTCTGTGTGTGACCATACAGAAAAAATTATGGAGGTGTTCAAAGATCAGTGCTGTGACGTCACAGCTAAGGGAGATAACCATGTATCTATTTAGGCATACCTCTAGGGATAGCTATGACTTAGAAATCTTTTTAATCTCATTCATTCTGTATGTATCTGCAGTACCCACTGGAAACTGGCAACCATAATCCAGAGGGAACGTTTACGACAAAATTAGGTTTATTTATGACTGGCAATAACCATCACGCATGGAGGAATTTATGGGACATTTCAATCACACTTGCTGGGTTTGCACCAGATCAAGTTGGTTTCATGGTGACTGACTTAATTAGGGTCAAGAGCATTACTTAGTACCACATAGGTCGCACCTCTCGTGTACAAGGGACGGTAGGCATTACGTACAAGTTATGTCTCTAGATGGTAACTGAGGACACTAAAACAACACAGGTGGTTCATCAGCTGAATCTGGACGGGCCATGGGGTGAGTGTGGATTACCTGAGTACGCTGGCTGGTGACAATAGCTTACCTGAGTATGTTAGGATGAGCCAGGCGGTTCATCAGCTGGACCTCCCTCAAAACATTGGCCCGATTACTCTCTTGCTTGTTCATCTTAAGGACCATCACCTGGCCTGTCATACGATGGGTCACCTGACAAATAAAACAAACATGTACTGCAACCGAAGCATTTGAACATCCATGGGCAAGTAAACTGTCAAAATCTCCAAGCATTAAAATTAATGACACCCACATGTATACTGTCAGATGTGGTAATGTCTGTGGTGCATCTTCTTTTCTTCTTGATAACCAAATGGGTTGGGTTTTTTTTTCAAATCTTGAAACTCCTGATGTAGTGTATAGATTTTGTTCCAGTTTTTAGAAAATCCTTAACTTGTTGTTGGACAACTAAAGTTTGAAATCATACTTATTGACAGACTGGCATCGGGTTGGCATGGTAGTTACGTTAATGTTCCAATAATGAAATTAAACAAACACGTTGAGGCTGATTTGTTCCTTGGATTCTGATTGGTCCATTTGACTCTGTACCCTAGCAGATCAAACTTGCTAACAGAAATCAAGGGTAGGTATTGAAGATTGTGAGAACCACGGGAATGGATCAAGGGAATGTTCTAGGTTTACTGAAATATGAGCATTGTAGGTAAACCTCTTACAGAAGACATGACAAAGCGGAGCCGCCATTACCCAACATGTTTACTCATTTTTTCATACTTTGTATCATCCAGGATAATGACATTTTCAACAAGTCATATTTGCTGCAATGTATTTTTATATCAGTACATGGTAAGTACAAAAACATCACAAAAATTTAGTAGAAATTAATATTTTTCATTACAAGAATAGATAATGCCCAAGATTTTGACTATAATATGCATTTCAAAACTCTTCATTGACTTCAGGGCTGGAATAAAATAGTTTGTGCTTAAAGCTTTTTGTTCTTATCAATATCCTGTACACCCAAAACTAACGCTATAAATCACTTCCTCCATACATTTCCAGTGTCATATCACAACCTTAGCAGGGATTAGGAAAGGCAGGGGCCATGGGCCATTTTGCACATTAGAATAAAAAATGGCCCATTAAAATTTTGAAATTTACTATTGATACAAGGGCAGTGGCCCATTCTAAATTCAGAAAATGGTTAATAATCCTGAAAATGGCCCATTGTCAAAGTTCTGTATCCCAATCCCTGCTTAGTTTTGGTGAAGCTACATCTTCAAATCAAAGAACCTGGCCTCCAGTTGACATAAGGCACCTAAAGGCATTTCCACTGTGATTACGTAACTTCAAATATACGTAACTTCAAATATACGTCACATCTAGTTGCATAATACAAATACCTTTTGAAAAACAGTAAATCACATTTCTCTAGCTGCCTCAGTAAGATGTTATAACCATTTCAGGATGAATGTAATGATTTACTGTGGATGAAAATAATTGTCATATGGAGTGCAATTTTTAAATCCAAGAATTGCATGTCTCCAATGACCTAATTATGTTAACAAGAAAGTTCTATGCAACTGACATCAGCTCTGTTCCAGAATACCTTTAGTTCCCATTTCTAAAAGTTTTTTTAGTTCCCATGAAAACCTAAATGTTGTAATGAGACAGTGTTATATTGGACATTAACCCGTCATCACATCATAAAATCTCTAGATTTTCAATAGACGTCCTTTTCTTTGCCAACTATCCTATACTTAGTATTAGGGCGAATTCCATTCTCATGTTAGTGCAACTGCAAAAGCAAGTTTCGGTGTAACACGTAGAACAGATTTTGGATACACTGTCACCTGTAACTCTAGATCATCATTTACATCAAATTAACAACAAATTTGAGTAGCTGGAGATATCAGTTAAGTCCAAGCGATAGGAAGGAGATATATCAGCTTCATTTTCAAATTTACCAGTCTGTTCACATTCTATACAATTTGTCTTTATCACCATTAGAAATTATACCCTAAACACAATGCACCTGAACTTTTAATTTGGATAGGAAGTGCGTTAACAAACTTTTCAAAAGCAGACATCATATGAACAACAGCCCCACCCCTAAACACGTGCATGGGGTGTCATTCTTGATTTTGACGGTTTTCAAGATGGTCAATATATAACTGTAGACCATTAATTTTGACAATCATCTTGCAGCACACAGTTTCTAGCCAGGTCTTTTTTTTTTTTGAAAATGAAAATAGTACACATGCAAATTTCACGTCATACACCAATTTACTGTACATACAACTATGGTCGTAAGGAAGTGCAAATGGTGATTCACTCTCAAAACATTAATTATTAACATATCAACATTGATTGACTCTGATATATGTCCTATTTTTTTCAATCGAAAATTAAAAATGAAGTTCCCCTACTTTTCTTTTAAGAGTATATGTGAAAATTAGAGATGTGAACAGATATGATTTGGAAGTTACAATGCCAAAGCCTAGATCAGGTCTAATTTTGTCTAGATCAGGTCATATTTTGTCTGCCAAAGATTGATAAAGTAATCATATTGTGTTATATATAAAACAACAATAAACAGATTACACTTCCAGGTTTACAACCTCAGTGAATGTTTAACAACAAACGACGAAATTCTGCAATCCGTATATCAAGAAACCTCATTCTTCAACACTGACAATAACCATTATTCTCCTAAGATTTTAAGGGACGCGTTAACACATTCACTTGGGTAGAATCTGAGTGGGCTTGTCACAGTGACTAACTAGGGTACAGTACCTCACTTTGAATCACAGAGACACAGAGACACAGAGACACCCATCTAGCAGAGTGCTCAGTGTACAGTATGTTAAGACTGATTCGATCCTGTCTTGAGACATGAGAGACTGCTGGAACAAAAGGAGTGTTGAAGACTGTTACCTGAAGTAAGCAGGTTTGTTGTTGTTTTATGCCACACTCAGCAATATTCCAGTTATATGACGGTAGTTAGCTGAGTGCATTGCGGGAAATGGACTCTCCCTCACCATCACTGCCCTGCATGTGCTTCAGGTGGCTCAGCTCCAATCACCAGGAATCATCCCCCGGGATGAAACAATTGCAGGAAGGCTACGTGTACACCTACATCGCAATGTTTGCACCACCACAAAGTGTCCAAAAAGGAATATGAGAGGCTCAAGAACTGCTGGGAATCAAAATGAAAACTCTCACGCAATACTAGGAAGTTCTACAAAAAAAAGCTGCCATCTGAAAAATAGGTACTTAAAGAGTTGCTTGTTCGCCTGACGTGCACAAGGACAGTAAGAGGGGGACACATCAGAAGTTCTGTTGTAGACAGGGGGCATATCTCTTCAAAAACCATCCATAACAAATAAGGAGGAGAGACACCCAACTTTCACTGGACAAAGTTCCTCTGTGGGCATCCGTACGGATCATTGGATTCCTCTTGTTCAGAAACAGCCATTATATCATGTAGGACAGTCTAGTTTGATCAGCGTTTTTTTGGACACCTGCCAAAATATTGGATTTCCAAATCTGTTTCTCAAAAACAGATAACAGATCTAGATTGCACAATACTAATTTATGCAGCATTTCTTCCGTGAGAGTGAACGTATCATCTGTTATCACTCCCTGATGAGTAACTGTTGCTGTCTGTTATTGGTCAAGAGAAATGTTGTTTGTAGGCATTCAGACACACCCAAGCATATCCTCAGGCCATGATTTATGTTATGTGTGCCCCATGCACATCTTGACATAATAATCAATATACACCAAGAGACTCCAATAGATCAACAATGATCAATATGTTACTTTACATTTTCATGGAAAAGATCATGTGCAACTGGAGCTAGGTTTCAGTCAGTTACATGTGACATCCTACATTATGACAATGACCTGCAAGTGAACAACACTTGTTTACTGACAACGCTATAGTAAACTACACGTAATGCACAATTTCAGCTGGCCAATGTCCTAAGTTGACATAGGAAAAGTGCACAGCTCCAGTTAACCAGTCCTCCAAGTTTGAGTGAGTGAGTGAGTTTAGTATTACGCCGTTTTTGGTACATACGCCGTCTGGTGCACCAGAAATGAGCTTCATACATTGTGCCCATGTGGTGAATCAAACCTGAGTCGTGGTGAGCGAACGCTTTAACCACTAGGCTACCCCACCAACCCCCCTAAGTTGAAGTAGAACCAGTACACAGCTCCAGTTAACCAGTCCCCTATATTGAAGTAGGAAGAGCGCACAACTCCAGTTAACCAGTCCCCTAATTTAAAGTAGGACGAGTGCAGAGCTCCAGTTAACCAGTTGCAACATAAGCAGAGCACGATTCCAGTTAGAAAAGATCCGTAGGTTGTAGCATGACCCCACATCCCTTAATCCTGTTGACCCTCCACACTCATTCATGAGCAACCAAAGTTTGGCAAGACGCTCAAAGGAAGACGATATCCTTTAGTTTAAATTTGACAAACATGGAATCCCCTGTATCATTATGGGACAAAAGAAATGTGTAATTGAGTCATTTGTAAATGTTTGCTTGCTCTACCTGTTCCAATAGAGAATGAAAACTGCATTGTGTCTGTTTGTTAAAGTACACAGCTTGGACTGACAGTGCCACCTACTTCCACACCCCACAAATACGACTGACCCCCTGGTAACACACACAAGCTGACAATTATTTCCTCAACATGCTGGGCAAGCAAATGTATTTTGAGAACAAATTCTGAAATGATAAACCATGTGTTATTTCTAATAACAAAGACAATGTATTATCTTTATCATGTGCATAAAAATGTTTATGACACATGTTGAAACTTTGTTGATATTTTCAATACAGCTTTTAGAATGTTGCAATGAGAAACTTAGTTTGTCATACAGACCCTGAAACAAATATACCCAATGCAGCCCATGTAAGTCTAGAATGTGTGGCAAGTCTAGATTACCACAGTTTCAGGAAATGAAGAAAGTCTCTGGGCTCCTTTTTATTGTATGTAATTTTAATTTAAAAACCTTTATTGTCTGCAAAATATGTTCATTTCAGAGACTAGCTGACACTGAATTCTTGCACAGATTAAATGAAAATCTACTCAATGCCAACATGAACACTGGTGGCATGAATGAACAAGCACTGTCACTAAGGTGACATAATCCCCCTCAGCAAATTATCAAATCAAACTTA